TACCATATTCTTTTTCCCTTGTGCAAGAGCACCTTGAACTCTTGAGTTTTGGAACAAAGTATTCTTGAGTTAGATTTTATGAACTTTTGAAAGGGAAACAGTGAAACAAGGTGATGTGGTATATGAATTTGACAGTAAGCAGATGCTGTCTTTGCACTTACAGTAAAGGCATTAGGTTTATTAATGAGGTGCAAATTCCATAGATTTTGGTTCTTCTTTGAGGAGGGATTAAATTCACACTGTAGAGGAGGAATTAAATTTATATTAATTCCTATTGCAGATTTACATGATTCTGAGATTCCGATATATGAAGAACTTCTAAGTTTCCTTATTCAGCCCACGTAATTGTTTTTGATTTTCTTCTTTGCTATTTTACTTGTTCCTATTCATCATCATTTTAGATTTGCCTTGGTGTGTGCAAGAAGATTGCCTTATTTATGCATACTGACTTTATTTATTTTTGAACTTAAATTTCCTAAGCTTGGCACTTATATTTTTCTGTTGTTCACTTGTATGTATTTATTCAATAAGCATTTATTATTGATGTCTATGGTATATGAGATGGCAGAAATTAGCATTCAACTATGCAAGAGAAAAACTATGGAATGAATTTTTTAACTTATGAGTTAACTTGTTTAAAACTAAAAAATTAAATTGCTAACACATTTTTATGTTAGAAATTAAAAACATTGTAGATAAATTAAAGAAGAAAGTAAAAATTACTCAGTGTTTTTGTTATATGATCTCCTATGTGTTTTATATGTATGTGTGTATATATATATATATATATATATACTATTTTTTTTATAATAATGGAATCTAATCTATATAGTGTTTCTAATTTTTATTTTTCAGTTACTGATACCAGACAGACTATAGCACTATGGTTAAAAATTGTGTTGAAGAAGTCTGATTTAGTAGACTGAGTTTCAGTATTTTTCTTCAATCAGTATTTACATGGAATGAAGATTCTAGAATGTGTATCAGTTGATGGTAGTTACTGATTCAGTGAAAACATAGCCTGAGATTATATATTTGTTGAAAGCAGTATTCTACCTTATAATAAATATTAACACATTTTAAAACTTGAATACCAGAAAGTATGCTTTTAATCTTTGCTTGATTGACTAAGGATATATAATTTTAAAACAATAGTTGATTTTAGTTAAATTTTGAGTGAGTTTGTGCGTATATTCGGGAAATTTCCACTAAAAAAAATCACTCATTAAGGAGATTGGAAATGTCATGGTGAGCTGTCTTATGATCTAATTTTATATGTATTTTGTAATCCTTATGTTAATGTATTAAGGGGAGTATATGAGCTTTTGGTTCTAATTTTTGATTTTCCATCCACATTTATGAAAGGGATTCAAATAAGTAGAATATTATCTCTTAGTTGAGACTTGTTTCCTTTTATTTATTAGATTACTACTCTCTTTTAAAATAGTGGTAAAAATTACAAAGTGATATAACTGAAGAAAGCCAAATTAAAGCCAAATTAAAGATTAAATATCTTGTTTCTCAATTTTCATATAATTACAACAATAAAAACATTCCATGGTGTCAGTGATGATGAGCATGATGGCTGTCATTTATAGAGGATCTTTACTGTGCAGTATGGTAGTTTCATTATGCATTATTTCTAATCCACACACAAACCGTACAAGGTTATTATTATTCCTCTTTTAGAGATTACCAAACTGAGACTCAATTTAAGCTACTTACCTCAAATCACACTTTCTATAAAACATAGTTGAGATTTGAGCCAATGTCTATCTGATTTCAAAATATTTCCATTTCTATTGAAATTTGTTTTCCAGTTTCATGACACAGCTTTTTGAAATACCAACATATTCTTTATTTTTTATTTTTATTTTTATTTTCATTTTTATTTTTTTAAAAGATTTTGTTTATTTATTTGGCAGAGAGAGATCACAAGTAGTCAGAGAGACAGGCGGAGAGAGAGAGGGGGAAGCTGAGCAGAGAGCCTGATGTGGGGCTCAATCCCAGGACCCTGAGATCATGACCTGGGCTGAAGGCAGAGGCTTAACCCACTGAGCCACCCAGGTGCCTCAAATACAACATATTTTAAAAAAATGCCCTGGTGTATCTCTATCTATTTAGAGTCACAGTTGTGACGCATTCTGTGGCCAAAAAGCTTGGTGCCCAGTTCAGGAGATATTTATTGAGCCTTTGGCTATGTTTTGAACAGAATTGATAAAAAGAATTCTAATTTAAAGTGTGGGAAAAGGAGCACTGAAATGGGGGTATCAGGACCTCGGTTCTCTTGCTGCTCTGCTGCTGCTTTGTTTTGTGATCCCTGTGCTCACCCTTTCTTTGTAGTCCACCCAGATGTGGGGAGGGTGTTGTGTAGAAGTGAACGCAGGTCGTCAGTACACAATAGAATTACGAGATGAGAGCGGGTCAGCCTGGTGAGCTAAATGTAGATCATATTGAAAGCCACATACTTTCCTCACAGAAATAATATTTTACATGGTGGTTAGATTTTAGGCAGATTTTTAAAAAGCATTTTAAATACAGACTTACAAAGTGAATAACCCTGGACAAATCATTATGCTAACTTCAATTTCTTTACCTGTAATATGAGGATTATAATAGCTCCTATGTATGAGAATTACCTAATAAATTATAATTAATTTTGTAGGGCCCACAATGTTTGGCAATTAAGTACTTAATGTATGTTTGCTGTTATTATTACTACTGCTACTAGGAAAATAAGCCACTTTAAAAATATTTCTCTTGAAAAAAATGCATCTAATTCTTAAACTGTTGTGAAAATTCCTTTTCCTCTTGCTGTGGTGGACTTAGGAACTCCCCTATCCCTTGTCTTCCTTACCTCTTGGTCAGTAGATGATGAAGACTCATTTGATTCTAAACTCTCCATGATGGCTCCTGTGGTTTAGGTCAGAGACTTGTGCCCCACAAAAGTTTGTTGGAGAAGTGAAGCCTGGTCAGGTTTTAAGCCAACCGGGGGAAAAAGGAGGTAAAGCAGTTGTGGTCTTCAGGAATATGGAGTCTTCTCGGTTTTTGGTAGCCCCTGTGGTTGACTCCACTGTGTGCCTTAAGACATGCTCCCTGCTGTTCACTGCCTCAGCACTGAAGAAGGGAACAGAACATGTTGATTTTGAAGTTAAAAACTGTTTTTGAACTGATAGAGTCAAAACTGTGAGACCTGTGGAAGGTCTTGGCGCAGTGGTCAGATTGGTGCGATCAAAGGCTGTCACTGCAGCAGGGATGTCTGTGGAGGACGGTTCTGCAGTGGCCCCAGGACTAGAAAAGGCGATTTCCTGAGTGAGCTTATGTTGGTCAGACTTTTTCCTCAGGAGTCTCTGTAAAAGTTCTGCTTACAGTTCACGTTTTCATGTTTGAAAGGAGTTGAGGAAGTGAGGCGATCAAGGACTGTAATGAAGGAGCAAAAAAGTAATTAAAAGGAAAGGTAAATAGGATTCATGAAACACATTAAAGGGGTTAGATTTGTTTAGGAGGAAAAAAAGACCTAAATACTTAAAATAACACTTAAAAATCTGATTCTTTGCTAGGGGGATATAAAAGACTACGTTAAAATTAGTTATTATTTTGCGAGGGTGGTGTGTGCATGGTACAGTGAAAACCTGTCTCCCTTGCAGTCGTCTTCACTCGCTACGTTTTGCCCTTGGAGATGGCAGCTGTCATGGGTACTGTCCTGTGCATATTCTGCACACGTAGTCCTGTGTGTTTCTCCTTCCTCCTCTTTGCAAATGGGAATGGGAGCATTTCATATATCCTATTGTACACCTTTACCTCTTTCTTCTTTGCTTTCATAGTGTGCCTTAGGGTTTGTGTCCTGTCATGACCAGTAGGGCAGCCTTGTGTTTCTCGTTCCCCCATCTGTACAGACTTCCATTCTGTGGAGAGTCCCTAATTCGATTATCCAGTTTTCTGTTAAATGAGCAAGTTAGGTGGTTTTTGCTGTTCTATTTTGCTGTTATAAATCTTACTGCCCTGAGTATTTCTGTTCATTCCTTATTTCCACCTGTGAAAATAAGGTGGTTTCCTAGAAGGGGAATTGCTGGGCGAAAGGATGAGTAGTTGACACGTCAGGGGTTGGTACCAACGTGGCTGTTTCCTGAGGAACAGCTGTGTTGTTGCCTGTGTTACAGATGCTATACGTTTCCCTCATTTCCCAGCAGGTCAAATTTTATGGCTGCCATGGGCGTCTGCAGTTTAAATGATGTGGAAAAATGTTGCATGCTTTTGTTTAATGTGATCGTCCAGGCCCTTAACCTTAGAGTGAATACGTATGTATGTATGTATGTATGTACGTACTTACCTATCTTTAAAAGGTCACAGACAAGCCTGGGGGCTGCTAGGTTGCATTTTGGATACCTGAGCAAGGTGTCTCTGGCTGTTGTTACTGTGGGGAAGGGAAGATGGGTGTAGTATTAGAAGGCATGAAGTCAGGCAGGTCCCTGCTGAATGCTTGTCTTCGCTCTGAATTGTGATCCTCCTCTACTGTGAGGTCTGTCACTGTGCCTCTCATTGTGGTTGGCCCAGGAGACTTTTACATACAGCGTTGGTCTTTCCAGTTTTCTGTTTACCTTTCTGAATTCTAAAATAGCAAAATAAGAAAATCCTGCACTTTGAAAGTGTGTTTTTAACTTAGTAACTGGAGACTTGAGGAGAGAAAAATTGTTATTAAATCAATAATTAGTGAAAAATCACCTTGATTTGGGTTCTGAATTTGATTATGTAGGTCACAGAGCCTGAGGCAGTGGGAGGGGCCTGGGTGTCCCAGGTGTAGAGCAGTCAGAGGCAGTGAGTGTGCTCTGTGTGATTTCCTGTCTTTACCCCAACTGTAATTAAAATAGCCCGTAATAGACTGTGGCCCGGCATGATCACATATCACTTTGTATCAGCCACACGTAAACAGAGCTGAACACCTTGAACGTTGGTGGTGGTCTTTATTCCATGCCTTGAGGTTTACATTTTTTGACTACAAGATGGAGACCGAAAGTGAGAGTAGCATTTCAGGAGATGATAGTGTCTTTTGGTTGGATTCTGAAGTTTTAATCGAGATGACTGGCAGTGAAGAGGGAGAGAGGGAAGACAACTTCAGGTAATTATGGAATTCACAGTTCTCCCTTCTCACCTTTGTTTCTCTGTCCACTCCCTCTACCACGGCACTCCTTTCCGATCTTCTCTGTTTTAAATCTCTTTTCTGGTAAGATTGTCTTTTCTCTGGGGGGGAAGGTTTGGAGCTGAAAAGAACAGGTTTCTAGTTGTACATAGCACTCTTCATTCCACAACATGCCCTGAGCTTATAAAATGCATTTTAAATGACTTGTTAGAACACCAGGAAGAGAAGGTGTTCGACAGGTTTTGTAGTAGCGTTTCAGGAATTTCAAGTACAGACTCATAATGAATGAACTACCTACCACTCCTTCCTGTGTCTGATTTGTACCTAATAGATTTGATCTGAATTTGAATGTAGTATGTTTTCTTCCTTTTTCCTTTTCTTTTTTTTCAATGTTTGTGTGTATATGCCCCCACATGCATGGATGCTTTTGTTGTCTTATTCATGTGTATGAAACATTTTGACTATAAGTACAAATTAATTATTTCATGGCTTTGATCCCTATTCTTGTCTCTGACCTTATATCTCACTCTCCTTCCCCTCTTGGGAATCTTTCTTGGCTTTGAATTTCTACTTGTAACTTCATAACTGCAGTTGTTAGGGAATGCCTCCAGATTAAGCAGATCTCAAAGCGTGGTAGTACTAGTGAAGAAAGAGGTCTTATCCAGCTTGAGGAAACAGTGCCATTGGTTTATTAATTCTATTACAAATTTTAGAAGGCTTTTTTTTTTTCAAACAGGGTTAGCAGATTCATTCTTTTAGAGTTATTAAATCATCTCTTGAAGAAGTTTGTTCTCCATATTATCATTGACACCCACACGAGCAATTAAACATCTATTATATAATTTTACCTGTGAGTACTTGGTAGGTGAACATACCATTATTTACATCAGATCTTATCTTTATGTTTAAAGTTCAAAAAGAGTCTCTCTCAAGTTAATATCTTTATCCACAGATTTGTTTTTTAAAGTCTAGGGTAAGGGTGCCTGGGTTGCTCAGCGGTTGAGCTCCCGTCTCTTGATTTCGGCTTAGGTCATGATCTCAGGGTCCTGGGATTGAGGCTGGCTCAGTGCTCAGTGGGGAGTCTACTTGAGATTCTCTCTCAGTCTTCCTCTGTTTCTCCCCCTGCTTGTGCTCCCTTTACCCTCTCTCTCTAAAATAAGTAAGTAAAATCTAAAAAAAAAAAATAAAAAAATGAAGTCTAGGATAAATGGCAGAAAGGATTAAATATAAGGAAGTCTTGGTAACCCACATTAAATTTGCTACTCCGTGGTTAAAATGAATAAGAATGTTTTAAATTTGTAGAAAAGTTTAGTGCAAAGTATGAAAATGTACTATTAACACATGAAATTCTTTTTTTTTTGTATAAACTTTCTCATTCTTCCCATAATTTATTTGGCCTTTCTTATTTGAGTAAGCTTCTCTCCCAAGATATGCTGATGTTGCATATATTCTTTATACTATGGTTGGCGTCTCACGGACAGTTAGGAAAAATATTTATTTTGTTGGTATTAAACCTGTTTGACTTGGTGTTAAAATTACAAAAGTTATTTTGGGTTATTAGTCAAAGGAAGAAACGATCTAGACTTTGTTGTTGTAATAGATTTGGTCCTGTCATCCTTGATTTACTTGTTAGACAGAAGGGGCCTGTCTGGATTTTCTTCTGACTTAAATTAAAAAAAAAAAAAAATCTGTGCAAGATTGAGCTTTCTTTTCCTCAAGACTCTGTGATAGCATTTTCATCCTAAGAAACTGAACTCTATTGCTTGCACTGTTCTGGGAAACCATGACACACCATAGGGCATTGGTCCTTTTTATAGTGATCTTTCATATCTGAATATCATCATCGCTCTCTCAGACCAAATACATCTTTGAGGTTTGATTTTAAATTATTTGAAAGTGCAAGAAGAGATCTGGGTAAGGCCCATGTCATGTAGTGTTTCTCACCTGTAAGACATGAGGACATGCAACCGCACAGTGCTCTGCCACATTCACAGCAGCGTTCCAGCTAAAATGCCTAACAGAAAAAATGCGTGTGTGGGTGTTGAAGGTGAAGGGTTGGATGGTAGGCGTTGTTGCCGTAACCGAACCAAATAGTGGACTCAGTGTTATGTATGAAAATTATTTTAGTAAAAGCAATTTAGTAATGAAGAAAATATACAGAAAAATCTTAATGTGTTTCTTTTAAAATCTGTGCTAATACACGTTAAATCAAACTGTCATTGTTTATATTCTAGTTAATTTCATTTACACACACACACACACACCCCCTGCTAGGGCAAAAGATTGTGTACTGTTCTTTTTCTCTGAATGGTTTCTAATCTAGGTTTAAAATTGATTCTTAGAAAAATAACATTGTGTCATTTGAGACACCATGACTGATAAAGTCAGACCATACCTGTGGTGTAGGTTTGTGGAGTTTCCAGCTATCATCTGCTTTAGGAGGAAGCACTCACAGAGGGGCATTCATGTTTGTCCAGTAGCTTTTGGAATGGAGTTTATTTTTAGATTTGGTTGGAAGAAAGGTTACTTTTTCTAACATTCTAGTACTGTGGAACATTGCCCAATTTCCTTCATAGCAATAGTTGAAACTTGCCTACCACTGAGTCACAAATCTCTCATTTTCTGATTTCTGATTTGTAGAGTGAAATTACTACCTACTATTATCACTGTTAAAATAGTTCTTTGATTAGAACATTTAGAGATTGTCATAGTCCTTAGAATAGAATAGTCCTTAAGGATCATGAAAAGAGCCCTTCTGTAAGTAAGTAGGAGGAATATGAGACAGAAAAAGAAAAGCAGAAATGTTTTAATTATTTTAAAAGGGCGCCTGGGTGGCTCAGTCAGTTAAGTGGCTGCCTTTGGCTTAGGTCATGATCCCAGGGTCCTGGTTTCAAGTTCCTCATCGGGCTCCCTGCTCCTTGGGGATCCTACTTCTCCCTCTGCCTCTGTCTCATGAATAAATAAATAAAATTTAAAAAAAAATTTTTAAAAATGAAAAATTTAACTTTGGAGTTGTTGTATGCAGTGTATTAAGCCAAATATATGTTATATACAGTATGTCACTTATCAGTCCTATAGAGTAGGTAATATTTTCCCCATTTTCCAGATGAAGAAATTGTCACTTAGAAAGTCACACATAGACCAACAGTGTAAGCATATGGTAGAGCAAAATTTTGAACCCAGGTGTAATTGAATTTGAAAGTGAACGACTTTAGTGAAATATTTAGCTGCTAAATGTTATTCTCTGGTAAGTAATAACATTTAAGAGACTTTTAAGCTGACATCTTAGTTCTGAAATTCCTTCTTATGAAGGGATTTTGAGCAATGGTGATGTGTATATGATAAACACAAAAGTGAACTAATGCATACAGTAAATGTGACCTTTCAGAGATTCGACCTCTAGGACACCTAGCAATTATTACTAACTCACGGTCATGAAAGGTTCTGGTTCTTTGGCATTTAAGGTTAGAAATGTTTATCATATAATCTACTTTAGTCTTTTCTAGTATTATTGACACATACATAGACTGGCAAGTGTGACATGAAGTTCAAAACACAGATGATACAGTGAAAAATTGAACCACATCTTTAGAACTGCGTACTTTTATTTTAATTAATTAATTAATTAAGAGCATGAACAGACGGAGGGGCAGAGGGAGAGGGAGAGAGGGAGAATTCCAAGCAGAGTTTACAATGAGCACAGAGACCGAAGTTGGGCTTCATCCCACAACCTGGTGATCATGATCTGAGACAAAGGTGAGTCTGTTGCTCAGTGGACTGAGCCACCCAGGTGCCCCATAGAACTATGTACTTCTAGAATCAGTCTGTAGATGCCCAGATACCTCAATCAGATCTTTGCTTGCATCTTCATAATAATGTGATTTTAAGTGAGAAACTTCCAACTTCAGTTAAACTAGATGATTTGGTGCACATATTTTAAATTCTTTTAATGTCTTTATTGGTTTATAGCATCATAAAACTAATAATAGTTCATGTACTTGATTGGTTTGTTCGTTGCTTTATTAATTTTCTGCCTTATTTGAAATGATACCGTGAGTTAGAACGTAACTGCAGCAGTCCAAATAGGTAACAATGGCTTGGAATATGGTATTAGATTTCTTCTAGGTTCTTGCTTTTCTTTTAGATCTAGAATGATTTATTTTGATTGGCTAAATTTCCCTGGAAGCCCGTAAAGCTATTTCACAATTCCCAGCTTTTAATACCGGGACTGTTTTTTTGTTGTCTTCAGAAATTATTGATTTGGGGATCCCCAGTCAGCATTTTTTTTTTTTTTTAAAGTAGGCTCTTCACACCCAGTGTGGAGTCCAACACAGAGCTTGAACTCAAGATCCTGAGATCAAGACCTGAGCTGAGATCACGAGTCGGATGCTTAACCGACTGAGCCATCCAGGAGCCCCTCCACCATCCCAGTCAGTTTTTATGAGCCTGGAAGGATGGAGAGGTAGCATTAACAATTAACCAAAGACATATATTACCAGTATCCCAACCCAGGTCTATTTTATAGTCTGTGGCTTTTCATAGGCATTTTACCCTTTAATAATCTGTTATATATGATGTGAAAAAAGATGTGCATATGTAAAAAAATGATATTCTGTAACACTGGATTTATGATCTAGAATATAAATTAGCCCTTAATATATTCTTTCAACGTAAAATATAATTTTCACCAAATATACTCTTTCCAGTGTCACAAGGATAATAAACTTATTTTGTGATCTGCAAAGTCTGATGTGAACATCACTTAATCTCAGGAAATTTTATGTGGTAGTGGAGTCTAGCCTTTAGGCTGTCTTTATAATCTGTGAAATAAATCTTGTCATAACCATGGGGCATGCTGGTACAAGGCTTTCTTGGTATTTCAGTAATTAAATTATTTGGGATGGAATCCAAGGTGAACCTTTCTTGTATCTATCTGTATGAGTTTTTTGATGTTTAAGAAGGGCCTTAGAGTACAGAAA